TATATATATATATATATATACATATTTATATATACATATTTATATATATAATATATTATGTATATATATAAATATAAATAAATATATATGTATATATATATTTTATTTATATTGTGTATATTATTAATTAATTAAATATTTATTTAATTAATAAAAAAAAAATAAATAATTATTTACTCTGTTTATTTATTATTGTGTCTTTGTATTTCTTTGTATTTATTTTTATTTGTCTCCTTTTATTGTCTCCTTTTTTTTTATCTTTATTTATTTATTTATTTATTTATTTATTTATTTATTTATTTATTTATTTCTTTTCTTTGTTTATTTATTTGTCTCTTTTTTATAGGTCTTTTATTAACAATAAAAGGAGACAAAAAAAAATAAACTTTTATTTATATGACGATCTCCTATAAACCCTAAACCCTAAACCCTAAACCCTAAACCCTCCTCTCTAAACCCTAAACCCTAAACCCTAAACCCTCGGCCCCCCTCAAATCGATACTGCACCTCTGTGGGGAGGATGCACTTGTTGTGCATATGTACCCTATCAGCAACAGCAACAACAGCAGCAGCAACAACAGCAGAAGCAACAGCAACAACAGCAGCAACAGCAGCAACACCAAGACCAAAGCTAACACCAACAACAGCAGACTCAGCAGCAACCATAGCAGCAACAGCAACAGCAACAGCAGCAACAGCAGCAATAGCATCAATAGCAGCAGCAGCACCAACAGCAACAACAGCAACAGCAGCAATAGAACCAATAGCAGCAGCAGCAGCAGCAGCAATTATTTAAAGGAAGTTTGTTGACTGCAGGAGCAGCAGCACAACTTCTTCTTCTGTCAAGAGACAGGCGCTGCTGCTGCTGCTGCTGCTGCTGCTGCCAGCCCCAAAAGGATTTGCATGCAGCAAAAACAAAGGCAACTCACTATTTGCGGTGTATGCATGCAAGACACGGTATATATATGCGTATGTGCATGCATGCATGAATGCATGTACTGTAGTGTGTCTGCATGCGTGCATGCATGCATGTACTGTAGTGTGTCTGCATGCATGCATGCATGCATGCATGCATGCATTGTAGGGTAGCTAGGAGTAGAAGAAAACAGCAGCAAGGACAACAGATAAGGATGAGTAACTAAATAATAATAAATAATAAATAGACAGAGTACCAGCAATATCGCCATCTGCTACTGCTGCTGTTGCTGCTGCCGCTGCTGCTGCTATTGCTGCTGCTGCTGCTATTGCTGCTGCATTAATAGGCGTCAGTAGATTTATTATTTATTTTATTTTTGTTAATTAAGAGAGGGAGGCAGCTACTAGCCAGCAAACCCTACTAGTACGGAGTTGCTGCTGCAGCAGCTGCTGCTGCAGCTGCTGCTGTTGCTGCTGCAATTATAGCTGCAGCAGCATCTGCTGCTACAGCCATTGCTGTTTCTCCTGCAGCTATTGCTACTGCAGCCATTGCTGCAGCGGCTGCTGCAGCTGTTGTTGTTGCTGCTGCTGCTGTTGTTGCTGCTGCTGCTGTTGCTGCTGCAGCAGCTGCTGCTGCAGCGTCAAATAGCTGTGTAGATGTTAGTAGACTTAAAATATACGAAAGGGGAGGTAAAACTTCTCTACACAGCCCCAATAAATTTATACGGTTTGCATGCATGCATGCATGCATAATATATGCAGGCATGCATGCATGCAGCCTCCTCGTCACATGCATGCATGTACATCAAGCCCCACAAAGGGAGCATGCATGCGTTTTTTGCATGCTTGCATGCATGCATGCATACATACATACATGCGGTGTCTCTATGCATGAACTGCATGCGGTGTCTCTATGCATGCACTGCATGCAGTGTCTCTATGCATGCACTACATGCAGTGTCTCCATGCATGCATGCATGCATGCATGCATGCAGCTAGGCACTTGAAAATCTTCCTTTGGCCTCTTATTGCAACTCAGCTAAACTTATAAAAGAAAACGCATGCATGTATGCACGCATGCATGCATGCATTTATAGCAAATTCATGCATGCATGCATGCATGCATGCATGCATGCTTTTGTTATATGAGGATACCCTGCATGCACAGAGGCAGCAAGACAATGGTGATTAATTTTGCTGCTGCTGGCGGCGTCGTTTCGCGCTGCGCTTCTCCGTTCTGTCTGCAGCAGCAGTTGCTGCAGTTGTTGCTGCTGCAGCTGCATGCATTGCAGGGTTTGCTGCTGCTGCTGCTGCTGCAGACTCTCCCTCTGTGTCTCCTTCTTGTGAGGATGCGTTTATATATTTTGAACTGGCTGCTGCTGCTGCTGCTGCAGCAGCAGCAGCAGCAGGATCTGCAGCTGATGAGTCTAACTTCTGCACCCCATCAACCACATCTCCCCCCCACTGCTGCTGCTGTTGCTGCTGCTGCTGCAGCAACAGCTGCTGCTGCTGCTGCCTTTCTTGCTCCTCCTTGAAGGTCTTAAGGCTAAGCTCCATTGCTCGCTGCATCTCTGCGCATTCATCTTGTGACGCATCACCAAAGGCAGCAGCAGCTGCAAACAAATGCTGCTGCTGCTGCTGCTGCTGCGAGGATCTGCATGCAGAGCGTCTACCCCCGTTGCTACCTCGTCCCTTTGTGGGGCCGCTGCTGTGTCTCTTTCTCTCCCCTGGCAGTCTCTGCTGCTGCTCTCCGCTTCTATCCCCCCTTTGACCAGCGAACCCCTCTTGCTGCTGCTGCTGCTGCTGCTGCTGTCTCCTCTCCGGGGATTCCCGCTGCGACATGCTGCAGCGTAAGCGCTTTCGTCGACCAGGTGCAGCAGCAGATGTTGCTGCTGCTGCTGTTGTTGCTGCTGCTGGTTGTGTTGAAGGCATAAGGGAAGCACGAAGACCATCATCTTCGCTGCTGTCGGAGTCTTCTGCTGCTGCTGCTGCTGTTGCTGTTGCTGCTGCTGCTGCAGGACTGTCGTCTCCATCATTAAAAAGTCTGCAGTTGCGCGGCCTTATTATATCTGATGGGTCTTCTCCATCATCATAAGAGACAGCAACTGCAACAGGCCATTGCTGCTCCTGCTGCTGCTGCTGCTGTTGCTGCTGCTGCTGCTGCATTCCCTGCTGCTGCTGCTGCTGCTGCTCAGAAGGAGTCTCATTTAAGGAGACAGGAGGGCCACAATTGGTGTCTGTAGAGCTCACAGAGCCATAACCGTTTGCTTGCCCTAAGGGACTCAACTCCAGCTGCTGCTGCTGTTGCTGTTGCTGCTGCTGTTGCTGCTGCTGCTGCTGCTCTTCGGCTTCAAGCTTCCTGCTGCGTCGCGCCCGCTGCAAATGCATCTCCAAGTGTACAAACCTTCGGCTGCTGCTGCTGCTGTTGTTGCTGCTGCGCTTAGAGTTTTTGCCAGTTAGTGGGGCATCCGTTGTTGCTGCTGCAGGTGCTGCTGCTGCTGCAGGTGTTGCTGCTGCTGCAGATGTTGCTGCAGTTGCTTCCTCTTGATTCGCCACTGCTTGTGATGCCTCTGTTGCTGCTGCGTATGGTGCTGGTGGTGCTACAGCAGCAGAAGGTCCCGTTGCTCCTGCTGCTGCTGCTGTTGCTGCTGTTGCTGCTGCTGCTGTGTGCCCGTCTTCTCGCTTGGAGAGATTCGTGAAGGATTGACTGGCGCCACTTGGTTGCTGCAGTTGCTGCTGTTGCTGCAGTTGTTGCATGTGCGGCGGATGCTGCAATTGCTGCAGTTGCTGTTGCTGCAGTTGCTGTTGCTGCAGTTGCTGTTGCAGTTGTTGCTGTTGTTGTTGCAATTGCTGCTGTTGCTGTAGCAATTGCTGCTGCTGCTGTTGCAATTGCTCCCGTTTCTGCTGTTGCTGCTGTTGTTGCAATTGCTGCAATTGCTGCTGTTGCTGCAATTGCTGTTGCAGCTGCAGTTGTTGTTGCTGCTGCTGATGATATGGTTGCTGCATCAGCTGCTGGTGCTGCTGTTCTTGCTGCTGCTCTTGCTGCTGGTGCTGCCGCATCCATTCATCATGTTCACGTACAGCATGTACATTTGCTGCTGCTTGCTGATCAACTGCAGCAGCAAGAAGACAAGCTAATCTATACTGTGTATGTATTTGCTGCTGCAGTTGCTGCGGTCTTTGCTCCTGCTGCGGCAGCAGATTAAGCCGCAGCAAGTGTCTCTCTAGTTCATGACTAAGGAGACACAATTCATTATTAGGGGAATTAAATAATCTACAATTATGCAGCAGCAGCAGCAAATCTGCATGCATTGCTGCTTCCCTCCTATAGTATCCATGCAGCAAACGTTTATATATAAAAGAAAGAGACACACCAACTGCTATTTTCTTCCAATACTCAGATATCCAATTAGGCATCCTGCTGCTGCTGCTGCTGCTGCTGCTGCTTCTGCTGCTGCTGCTGCTGCTGCTGTTGTTGTTGTCCTCTTGCCATTCGGGGACGTCGTCTATAAATGGTTGATACAGGAGAGCTTTGCTGCTGCTGCTGCTGCTGCTGCTGCTGCTGCTGCCATTGATCATAACGCTGCCATTCATGCTGCAGCTGCTGCTGCTGCTGGTGTCTGTTGCTGCAGCAGGTGCTGGTGTTTCTATAACAGTCTTTAGCTGCTGCAGCAGCAACTGCTGCCTCTCTATAGGAAACTCTTGCTGCTGCAGCAGCTGCTGCACCTGCTGGTCCATTGCATGCATCTGCCCAGGTGCAAAGTCTATCTCCCAAGGGCTAATCCATACAGGTTCCCCGGATGCAACAAGTGTCCCATTATTGGGGGCCCCATAGGGGCCCCCCCCACTATGGGAGGCCCCATGGGGGCCCCCCCCACGGGGGCCCCCTCTGGAAGAAGAAGACTTAAATGTATCAATTTCTTTTAGGTACTGGACACGGAGGGCCTCGAACCCCAAGGAAGCAACATGGCACCATGCTGCTGCATCGCTAGCAGCATGAGGTATACCTGTAGTATCGTTTCTGCTGCTGCTGCTGCTGCTGCTGCTGCTGCTGCTGCTGCTGCTGCTAGGTACTGTCATAGCTATACTATCTATAACAAAATTAGGATATATATTAGACCCTATTACTCCCCTTAATGCGCTAGCTAGCGCTAGCCGTCGTACCTCATGTAGTCCCTTGGGTCCCCTATAGTTATCTGTTATAAGCCATGGTTGCTGCTGCTGTTGCTGCAGTTGCTGCAGTTGCTGTTGCTGTTTTTGCTGCTCTTTTTCTGCTGTTGCTGCACCTGCTAATAAGGCACGAGCTGTCTCTGTTGCTTCTGGTGCTGCTGCTCTTATTGAGCAAACGCATGCAGGGAAGTATTGACCATCCATATACACCTGAATAAGAGGATAAGAAGATAAATCCTCTTGCTGCTGCTGCTGCTGCTGTTGCTGCTGTTGTTGTTGTTGCTGCTGCTGCTGCTGTCGTCTGCTGCTGCAGACAGAAGCACCGTCCCTCTCATCTAGATTAGGTCTCCTTACGCGTCTCCTTGGTGTCCTCCTAGCTCCCTCCTCCATCTCTTGCTGCTGCTGTTGCTGCTGGAGAAAAAGTTGTTGCTGCTGCTGTTGCTGCAACTTAATAACTTTTTCTTTTTCTAATCTAAGCAGCTGCTGCTGCAGCAGCAGCAAACGAAATAAACCCCTATATACATCTGTTAATAAGACCAAGAAGTCTGCAGATCCATCCAAGGAGGGACAGTAATGTATATTAAATCTGTCTCCTGCTGCATGCGAAGGAGACACTATCTCTAGCTCTAATGCAGCAGATACCTGTAGTGGCTCCTCTTCAGCAGGAAGACCTGCAGCAGCAACAGCAGCAGCAACAGCAGCAGCAGCAGCAGCAGCAGAACAAGCACAAACACAAGCAACAATATAATATGTCTCTCCTTCTGTCTTTTTTTTTTTTTTTTGCTAAATATACCATAAGAAGTGTCTCCTTTTCCCTATATAACTAGATAATAAATAAAGTGTCTCCTTTTATTATTTTTATTAATTAATTAATTAATTAATTAATTAATTAATTAATATACCTGGTAATATATATTGTATATGTACAACAGCAGCATCACAAGGAGAGAAGCAATGAGGAGACCATAGCTGTATAATATCTTGTGTATAAGAAGGAGACACATGTAATTGAGGAAAGTAACGAATTATATCCCCTAATTGGGGTGTATATACACCACTAGGACTATTAAAACAACAAGGATAATTGTCTCCTCCTTTTTCTCCTGATTCTCCTGTTCCTCCTGATGATAATAATGTCCTTCCTTCTCCTGTTGCTCCTGCTGCTGTTGCTGCTCCTGCTGCTGTTGCTGCTCCTGCTGCTGTTGCTGCTCCTGCTGCTGCTGCTGCTGATGTGCTGCTAAGGTCGGGTGTATCTTCTTGGGAGGAACGTAACATCATACGTTGACGACGTATAAGATCGGGTCGGCCCCTATTGCTGCTGCTGCTGCTGCTGCTGCTACTGCTGCTGCTGCTGCTGCTGCTCGACCTGCTTCCCCTGTAGCAGCGATGCTCCCCTGTTAGCCAACGACGGATCGATGGACTTCGTAAAACATCACCAGAGAAATACGACGCTAAAATATCATCGAACTTCCTCTGCAGTCGGCACCTGCAGCAGCAGCAGCAGCAGCAGCAGCAGCAGCAGCAGCAGCAGCAGCAGCAGCAGCAACAGTAGCAAGAACAAAAGGAATTGTTAGCACAATAGTAATAGAAGCAGCAAAAACAAACACATCAGCAGCGGGAGTCCAAAGCATGCTCGCAACTATTTATGTATATTGCCTATCTGCTGCTGCACCTGCAGCAGCAACAGCAGCAGCAGCAACAACAGCAACCACAACCACAGCAGCAGCAGCAGCAGCAGCAGCAGCAGCAGTAGGGCTGTGTGTCTCACGGAAGACACAAGAAGCTGCCAAAGAAAAGGGGATCAGGGATAACACCCTTGGGTCCTGAATCTACTGCTGCAGCAATTGCTGCTTGTGCTGCACGAAGAGGGTCTGTTGCATGTCTTCCTTCTGCTGCTGCTGCAGCAGCAGCAGCAGAAGGAAATAAATAAGACAAAGAGCAGCAAGCATAATGAAAGAAATGGAGACACCCCTCGTTGCAGCACTCAACAGCAGCACCAACAGATCCACAGAACCTGCAGCGGCGCTTCTGTGCTGCTGCTGTTAACTCCTGCAGCAGCAGCAGCAGCAGCAGCAACAGCAACAGCAGCAACAGCAACAGCAGCAACAGCAGCAGCATAATATAATAGGACATAGGAAAGGAGACAAATAAATAGACACATAACCAGGCACAAGGAGACAC